GAGAGCATTATGCTAAGCGAAATAAGCCAGTCAGAGAAAGATAAATATCACAAGATCTCACTCATTTGTGGAATATAATGAACAACATAAACTGATGAACAAAAACAGAACCAAAGTCATAGAAGCATCGATTAGACTGTCCAACCTATGAGGGAAGGAGGGGGTAAGAGATCAACCAAAGGACTTGTATGCATGCATATGAGCATAACCAATGGACACAGACAGGAGTGGGGATGGGGGCATGTGCTGGGGGTTGGGGTAGTCGGGGAGAGGTCAATGGGGAAAAAAGGAGACTTATGTAATACATTAAACAATAAAGAACTTAAATTTAAAAATGACATTGGGATTTTATGGGGCTTGCATTAAATCTGTATATTGCTTTGGGTAAAATGGCCATTTTAACTATGTTGATTCTTCCAATTCATGAACACAGGATATTTTTCCATTTTGTTGTGTCTTTTTCAATCTCTTTTAATAATGTTTTGTAATTTTCAGCATATAGGTCTTTCACATTCTTTGTTAAGTTTATTCCTAGGTATTTTATTCTTTTGATTGAGATTGCAAAAGGAATTGTTTTCTCCATTTCTTTTTCTGAAGTTTTGTTGCTGATAAACAGGAAGGCAATGGATTTTTACACATCGATTTTATATCCTGCAACTTGACTGTATTTGATTATTGTTTCCAGTTTTTGGGGGTAGAGTCTTTAGGGTTTTCTATGTATAGCATCATGTCGTCTGCAAAAAGTGACAGTTTGACTTCTTTCTTCCCTATTTGGATGCCTTTTTTTCTTTCTCTTGCCATATTATTCTGGCTAGAACTCCCAGTACTGTGTTGAATAAGAGTGGTGAGAGTGGACATCCTTGTCTTGTTCCTGATCTTAGGGGAAAAGCTTTCAGTTTTTCACCATTGAGTATGACATTAGCTGAGGGTTTATCATTTATGGCCTTTATTATGTTGAGGTACTTTCCTTCTCCTATTTTATTGAGCATTTTAATCATACGTGGATGTTGTATCTTATCAAATGCTTTTTCTGCATCTATTGACAAGATCATATGATTGTTAGCCTTTCTTTTGTTAATGTGGTGTATTACATTGATTCATTTGCAATTGTTGAACCATCCTTGTGCCCTTGGAATGAATCCCACTTGATCATGATGTATTATTTTTTTTGATGTACTGTTGTATTCAATTAGCTAGTATTTTGGTTAGGATTTTTACGTCTGTATTCATCAGGGATATTGACCTATAGTTTTCTTTTTGTGTATTATCTTTGCCAGGTTTTAGTATCGGGGTTATATTGGCTTCCTAGAATGTGTTAGGAAGCCTCTTCAATTTTTTAGAAGAGTTTTCAAAGAATAGGCTTTAATTCTTCCTTGATCATTTGGTAGAATCCACTGGTGAAGCCATCTGGTCCCGGACTTTTGTTTTTGGGGAGGTTTTTGATGGTTGTTTCAATTTCCTCACTGCTGATCGGTCTATTTAGATTTTCCAGTTCTTTATGATTTAGTCTAGGAAGGTTATATATTTCTAGGAACTTACCCATTTATTCTAGGTTATTGAATTTGGTGGCATAAAGGCTTTCATAATAATTTAGTATGATCCTTTGTATATCTCTGATGTCTGTGGTGATTTCTCCTCTCTCATTTCTGATTTGTTTATGTGGTTCTTTTCCCTTTTTTCCTCAGTGAGTCTAGCCAGGGGTTTGTCAATTTTATTAATCTTTTCAAAGAACCAGCTCTTTGTTTTATTCTCTTTTTGTTCTCAATTTCATTTAATTCTGCTCTAATTTTATTATTTCCTTTTCTTCTGCTAATTTGGGTTGCTTTTGT